TTATGTGTTTCAGGTACCAGTGAGGATCGTGGGAAGGCGCCGACATGATCAGTACACACTATTGGAGTTTTAATACATTTTGATCTTGGGATGTGTTTTTATGGATTTGATATGTGATACATTGAGATTTGAGAATGTTTATGAATGAAATTACATTTTTTTTAAAGTGAAAAATTGTTTTGAAACTTACGGTGTTACATCTATTTTTTGTAAACACTAAAATGTCTCAGGAAGCATTAATCATGAAGGCATAAGAACCCTTTCTCCAAATTAGAACCTAAATTTTCCAGAATTATAAATTTTTTGAATTGTTTTTTGAGAAAAAATACTTGTAACACTCTTTTTTTGAAAAAAAAACGAAAGAAAAAAAGGAATAAGGATTCAGGGAGGAGTTCAATATTTTCTATGGTGTTTTTCTTTCCCCCGTTGACCTCATGGGAAAAAAGTCGAACCCGTATATGATTTCCTCTCCTTCCGCACTAGTGTCGTTGCCTTGGTTATTTCCGCTATTCTGGTTGTTTCCTTACAGATCCCTCATCTACCACCCAATTGGTATCCTCTGCTTAGTTCCGTAATTGCAATAATGGATTGATTACTTCTCCTTTAGCATCAATGGTTTTTTATTGGCAATCGAGTTGCAGAGTGATGGTGTTGTAGAAAAATTGTTTTATGGAACTTGCGGGGATGTTTAGAGGCATTAAGGAGGCAACATCGTTGAAGACATGAAATAAATGAGGAATGGACGAAGAAGACAGGTATGGGGTAGGTGGGCCCTTATTTTATTTTATAATTTTTAAAATTATAAATCGGTCTTTCTATATGGACCAAGGGACGTTTACACCCCATTCCCGAGTTCAATTTAACGAGAGAAATGAAAGGAAATGAGTGGAAATGAGAAGAAAATAAAAGAAATATATTGGTGTTCCCGATTTTCATTAAAGGAGGGAAGCGGAAGGAAGTGGAGGGAAATGGGAGGATCACTTTCCCTCCTAACTTTCCTTCCGATTTGGGAGGATTTGGAAAGAAAGAACAAAATGATTCATTTTTCTTCCACTTCTCTCCAACTCGGGAACACAAAAGAAAATTTTGTTTTCCTTTCATTTCTCTTCTTTTCTCTCATGACTTTCTTTTCCCTTCTCTTCTTTTTTATTTTTAAACTCGGGAACTAGGCGTTAGTGTAATTTTCCAAAACCACATGGACGTATAAATTTTTTTTGGCCAAAGTCTAAATTGCAAATTTGACTAAACCATAACTTCATTTAAGTAATTTACTCTTAAACAAACTCGCTTACAGAAATTATCAACACTGTGAATAAACCAAAAT